CAGCCTTGTCTTACTCCTGTCCTCACTTCGAAGGATTACGTAAGTTTCCCGTTGTGGATTACTTCCCATGCAGCATTGTCCTACAGCTGTTGGATGAGATGTTTAATTATCGGTGGCACCCCGTCGTAGCGAAGTAGTTTCCAAATCACCTCTCGATCGACGCTGTCGAAGGCTTTTTCAAAGTCGATGAAGTTGAGATAGAGAGGTGACTGCCATTCCAGGCTTTGTTCAATGGTGATCCGTAATGTGGCGATCTGATCAATGCATGACTTGTTTCTCCTGAATCCAGCCTGTTCCGGTCGAAGTTTTTCATCCAGGTTGGCTTGTTTGATTCCCTGTAAGATGATGCGGCTTAGTATTTTGCTTGGGATGGACAGGAGCATAATTCCGCGCCAGTTCTTGCATTGACTTAAGTCTCCTTTCTTTGGTAGTTTGAATAGGTAGCCTTTCCTCCAATTAGGTACCTTGCCCTCTTTTCACATCTTCTTCAGTAGTGGTGTCATCAAGTTTGCTGTTGTCTCTGGGTCCATTTTCAATGCTTCTGCTGTGATTCCATCTGGTCCTGCTGCTTTTCCAGCTTATAGCATCTTGATCGCCTTCAGGACTTCTGATTTCGTCGGGGGGTTGAAGTGTTCAGCCCAGTGTTCCCTTTTCTCCAATTCTTTGGTGATTGACTTTCCATTGTCATCCTTCACCGGCTTAATTTGTGTCAAACGTTTTCCCGATAGGTACCTAGTTGTTTGGTAGAATGTTGCGATGTCTCCTTTGCCTGCAGCTTGTTCTGCTTCACTTACCATGGTTTCATAATACTTTCTTTTGTCTTCTCTGGCACATGCATAGGAATATTGAATAATCGCAGAATGTTTGCTGTTGACTGGGCAACAAGTCTGCTCAGATTGCAAAAGAAGTGAGAAGATATGGTACAGAAGGAAGTATCAGCAATTTGTAAGCCTAGATGGAACGTCAGTGGATTCCTTAGTCCGAGAGCCAGCAATCTACTGCAGTCACCAAGATGAGGATCATGAGAACAATGAGGGCGTGGCTATCATGATATCACCAACAGAAACTGAGGCTGTGGTGAGTGGGAATCAGTTTGCTTCGGGATCATAACAGTAAGTCTCACCTAAAAAGGAAGAAGAGTTACAAACACACACACAGTGCTACAAACAACTCAGACCCCGGTGAGGAGGATGTCCACCCTATTCAATAATTTGCTGACTCCAGGCGGCATGTGCAAACACAAGGATATCTTTAAGGTGATGCGTATTTCACCAAGTGGATAAACTAAGAAATTGAAGAAAGAGGAAATATATACTACTGGACACAAGATCGAGAAGAGGAGCAACAGCAGGTTCAGATCACTGTCTAGAGTAAGTAGCTGTTGCAGTTACTTTGAAAGACTTCGAAGAAGCTGAAGGTAGACCATGATTCATGTCCGACACTCACATACTAAAGGTCAAAGATACAGAGGATACCTTTACTGCAGTCATTGGGAAACAGTTTGGAACATTGAGAAACGTCACCGAAGTAACCTTCATGGAAGAACACTGGAGCTTTCTGAAAGTATTAAAGAAGGAAACCTGTATAGACATATTATGTAAAAAGAGGTAGGACCAGGAATGGTTGGCTACGGGCACCTAGATGACAGACGAGAGATAGGTGGGAAGCAGTAGATGAATGGATGCAGACATGTCAACAGGAGAAGCTGAGCACAACCTACAGAGCAATGAACAAAGGGGTGAATAATAATGCTAGTAACAGGACTGATGGTTTTATTGCTATATATTTTTAATAATAATAGTGTGCAAGACAAAGGACGCTTTGATGACATACTGGCTTCTAAAGCACAGTAGGCCCCTGGGAAAAGTGATCTTGCAGTACTCTATCAAATAACTAGGTCCTTATATGGTAAGAGGTGAACAGAGATGGAGCCATCGTAAGATAGGAGAAGGAAGGCCAACTAAAGAAGAGAGGAAACACTACGCTGATCACTCGAAAGAATTCCTGAATCGACCACCAACAACTCGTCCAGAAACACCACTACCAGTAACAGACAGGACTACCAGTTTGCACCCGCCCTCTGACAAATACAGAAATCATTAATCCTATAGAGTTACTGGAAGCCAACTAGGAACTCTGGAGGACAAGATGCAATAGCTCCAGAAGCACTGAAAATGGACACGGAGATCTCAGCGGACACTAAAGTAGAGGATGCGGAGAGGAGAAAAGATATCTGAGAATTGAAAATTCCGAAGAAGGGTGACTTAAACCTATGTAAGAACTGGGTAATTATCCAACTGCCTACTACAAGCAAAATATTAAGCCGCATCATCCCTCGTAAGAGACTAAACTTAGGAAATAGAAGTCATGTGCAGACCAAATCGCTACACTATGCATCACCATCGAACAGAGCCTAAAATGACAGTCAAATCTCTGCATCAACCACATCGACTTTCGATAGCTAACTAGTTTGGCATCTGCTTCATAAATATGGAGCGTGGTGCCATGTACATTTATAGGCGCCATTCAACAGTTATTTGATGATGGAGCCATATGCCAGTGTTTCACAAGGGGAAGCTCAGAAATGTCTTTGAAGGGAAGAGAGAAGTAAGACAAAGTTGCCCACTATCACTAATAATATTCATGATTTTGGTGGAGTAGATTATGCGGCAGACCACAGGGAACGAGAAGACAGGGATACTTTGGACCAAGAATAAGACACTTGGAGAATTAGACTTCGCGGATGGTGCACGCCTAACGTGATAAAGACTTGAAGTCCTACAGACGAGAGCCAACAAGTGAGCAGCGAAGACAGGACTTCAAGTGATCGTACAGGATACAGATACCTAACCAACAACAAAAAGCACCAATTACTATTAAATGAAGGAATTTGATGGAAGTCGTTTGCTTCAGTCATTCGAGTAAACAAGGAACTTTCTCAGAGAATCGACGAGAAACCTTTCGACTCAACAAATATGAATACAAATTAAATATACGACGTATACACCGAGGTGACATTAAACGTAGACCCTTGAGTAGAACCTGTATGGGTAACGACAAGGTGTGTGTTCGAGGGTTACATAAAGATGGTTATATCAGGAGGAAATCAGAACTTGTGGAATCAGCCTCAAGTGACAGCAGAGGACAGAAGGTAATGCAGATGTATTACTGAATCCCTACGTCCTACTCAGAATGCATGGAATGAATGATTACTAATGTGAATAAATTTGTGCATTCGAACTTACAACACAGTCGCCTGAGTAACTCCATCATATTTTGGAACAAGTTGAAATGTGTGTGCATAATTCTCGAAACTCCATGCTATTTCTAACTGAACATAACAACTTTTTTTAAATATTTGCATTCTGCACGTGTTAGTGCGTTTCCAAAGTCAACTATAACCCTAATAAGAAGAGATGATTTGTAAATTTTAAAGACAGAAAATATCCTATCGGGAGTATCAGTCCTGGATACTCACATAAATGTTACTCCACTCGATGAACAAGATTCACTGAATGTTTCTGAATCTTATTCATAACTGCATCTGTCTGTCTGTTTTCGACATAGAACTTTGCACTGATGTGCGGCAGTTCAAGTCGCCACACTCCATGTAGCACACAAAGCAAGAGAAGAAAGTAGAAGAAATGCATAATATAGACAGTAAACAGAGGTGTGAGACAAAGGAGTAGTAATAACGAAGAACGAACAGTTTCATCGGAAATCATAAGTCACAAGGAGTGGATGCATCTGCGCCACTGAGAACGATTTTGAGCCATGTCACCAATTGTTTCCAACCATTGGTTTTAACCGTCCCGAGGACCCCAACCAGGAAGTCTACATCTCCCTACGTGACTTAGACTAACTGTTGTGGATTTCATTGACTGGTGCCATGTTTTCGTTTGACCGCCGCTAGCTCTTTTCCAGCCTGGCTCTATATCAGCTAACATTGCCCGTCGAGGAAGGCGATGACTAGGCATACGTAACACATGTCCCAACCATCTCAGTCGATGTAATTTCACTGCATCTGAGGATATTACAACTTCCTAAATATGCTCATTGACTTTCTTTCCCCTTAATTACTGTCGCCTTTATCAGACATGGTAATTAATATGCTATTGCGGTTTTCTGAGTTTCTTTGGGATATTTGTGACCCCGATGAACTTTGCTTTACTTCATCAATAGGATGTCGCCCATTCTCGCCTATACTACTTTGATACTGTAGATAACACGCTCAGGGTTAAACTGAAATAATGCTACATTGAAGTTGAGTCCTTTATAAGGCAATCTAAGAGGATTAAGTTTCTCATTGAGGCATCTATTCCGTTAACAGTACGTTGGGCCCCTAACACAATGTTTTTCCCTGAAAAACTGAGGTTTTTTTAAATATAGCACCTCTTGCTTTATTACCAGTAGAAGAATCCCAACTGTTAATTGCCTCCCTCCTCAGTTTAGATTTTAATTGATCGTATAGTTAAGAATCTATGTACTTCTGCCGACGGACAAACAACTGATATGATCAATTTTTATCATTACTCTCCCCAGATAATAATTCGAACTAATTTCAGCCAGATGTTTGACTTCAGTATATACTCGGGATTCACATGATTCGGCCTCTCCAAGAATGCTTCGACCGCATATTATAGTACAAGGTCTTTTCAGGTGTTGGCAAACTGACACATTCTGAACTTCAAAATGACAGTTTCAAAATTTTGGAATGATTTACTCATCATATGTACGCTGCTTCGAAATTCCCCATTTAATTAAAGAAAACGAAGCGACTGAAGCTCCATTAGCCTGTAGTCCGCTTTAAATTACTCAGACATCTATAGAAACAGTAAACGTCAGGTGTATAACACAACAATGCACTATGCTCTATAATACAGGATGTCAAACACATATATCAAAGGCGAATATTTGGCCAAGTCACAGAATAATTCCTGGGAGCGAGAAAAAACCATCATGCAACAAGTCCAAAGTATGTGAAGTGAAGAAAACAAGTTAATGGATAAAGCTTTCAAACTCCAGTCAGACTAGTTCAGTGTGTACCAAATACGTTTGAGTTACTGTCTGCCAAAAACATACCGCGACAGTTACAGTTACATCTAAACCCAAAGTCAATCAACATAGTTCATGATTATTTCCAGCCATTTAGAGAGATGTTAGTCTCCATGTTGGAGAGGAGTTAGCACGGCTGACAGTTGTGCATATCTCTTGCAAGTAGAAATTCACTTTAGAGTATTACAATATTTGTGTTTTCTGACATGAAAAATTCACCTTTACACCCACTGATTATAGTGTAGAAAGAAAGCTACTGGGTAATAATCACATCGCATATATTTTTTTCGCACAGTTTTCTTACAGCCTACCAGATATTAGAACAAATGTCGAATAGAAAAATTAGAACAACTACGTAATAACAAGGCGAGAATTACCGACAAGGAATACAACAGAATGATCTTGTTCGTATATACATGCGATCGTAGACAGTGGTAGTGTGCACTCTTACCGCTTTCTTCTAACCGCTTATTTCTTAGCTAAAACCATCACTGTAATTAAACAGCCCGAAGAACTACTTTAGAGAAGTACAGAATTCACACAACAATTTTGAGCAAAGTATTTTTTTCTTCATATGAAAAAAAGGAAAACAGGATAATAGTTTTTTGTTCACATATATGTATATATTATGTGTGTTGCACAATGTAAACTTATTCCCTTTTTTTTAAACTGAGCAATTATTACATCTTAATAATTGATGGGAGGTGAAAGAGATCGAGAGAATTGAAATATATAACACATAACTCCTTTCATCTTTTTTTTCTTAAATAGTCCATACTCTCTGCTTCAGTGTTAAGGCAGACACCTCATCATCATCATCATCGGCAGCAGCAGCGAGTAGAAGATTGAAGGAGAGAAGAGGAGTTGTAGACAGGTACCTGGTGATGAATACATAAATCCGACAAGGAAATAGCTGTTGACTAAACGGATTAGCGATTGCTGGTCTTAGAGATACACAGACACACGTACACACACATACACAAATAACGGAACAACAGAATATTAGAGGTTACGAAACAGAAAAAAAGGATGAACCAGAATTCTATATAATCAGTGAATACATTTGCACAAAAGTTGGAGGAATATAGATAGAGACACGGAAAGAGAGGGAGAATAAACTGACGTCCTCCAAACAGTTTTCTTCTCTTACCTTCAACAAATTGATGCTGCAATATTCAAAATATTCGGATGATATTATGAACACATATTAATTAATATTTCTCTCTATATTGTATTTTGAAGAGGAGACGAGGAAATGAGGGGAAAAATAAATGCTTAAAGAGAGAGAGAGAGATAGAGGAAAAAAAATAAGAGGAGAGTGCATCTTAGGAATGTGTACCTGAGACACCAGGACAATAAATAAATAAATAAATAAGTAGATAGATAAAAACAAACGGAATAATATTAATAATTAAAGGTTTTCTTTCTCCTCATTTCTCTTAAAATTTCAAATCCGAAATAAATTGAAATAAGAAAGTATAGTGAGATATCTGTGTACACATTCAACGTTCAACTCCTTCTCTCTTGTTCAGTAATCAAATATTGAAGAAATTCCAGAAAAAAGCAAACTTAGAGTAGTAGCAGTAGTAGTAGTAATAGTACAAAAAAACACATATTATTAATATTAATATTATTATCTAAATATTAGGGTTATTTTATTGCTTCATCCTATCGATATGCCCTGATCCAAACTTTTTCACTAAGTGGTGAATGAAATAGTTTCTTGTGATGTTGGTGAGATCACCAGAAGAAAAGAGACAAATACTCGGAGCGAGAGAAAGAAATAATAAAACAGCAGAGAAACATTCACCACACTGATAAAATGTCTGACCGTTCAAATGCCTACAAAGTATGGAAACCTGTTTGGTCATTCACACACCACATATATATAACCTAAAATATTATATAAATTGAAGTTAACAAATTATCTTGAAGAAATAAATATATTAGGGAAATATATTAGGGGGAAATCTTGTTTATTAAAAAAAAGAAAAAGAAGAATAAAATTCTAAAGGAAGTAATCATATCTTCCTTCAAGCAAAGTAGGCTTCTGTTATCTCTCTGTCTCTCTCATCGGAGTATACAGAATGAGAAAACGATGATTAGAGCCTATTTTATACCAACTCAAGGATACGTGCAACTGTGAAAAGGAAAGCGAATTAATAACAGCAATTATAAAATAAAGAAGAGATGAGATTCTGAATGTGGAAATAATAAATTAGTTTCATGGCCGGTATTCTTTTTGTTAAAAAGTGAAAGGTAAGACAACACAAGTACTTTCACATGTATAAGATATAAAAGGGATAGAGGTGGTAAACTTTGAAATTATATTGCCTCCTTGTTTTCTTAAAGAGTAGTTTCCTCGACAGGATTTTCTTTTGTTTAAAAAAAGAAGATGAGCAGCAGTTTGTTTCTGAGTTGTTTTAAATATCAAGAAATTTTTATAAACATTTGGCAGAAAAACGGTAAGTGAAAGTATATCATAATATTAATGATATTAGTAATAGTAATAACAAGGCATAATAATATTAATAATAGTAATTCTCTTTTGTTTTAAGCTAGTCAGACAATCTTAAAACAATTCATAGATGTAATACGCGCAGGTGAACAAAGACAAAATGTTTATGAACATTTCTATTCCTTTCTGTGATGACCAGGGCTTTGGGGTACAAGCATATCATCACTGTTAAAGAAAGCCATTGAAAAATATACCTCCAAAATGTGTACAAAGGGATGCAAATTATACTTCATATAAAAAAGAAGAAAGTTATAAAATGCAGTTAAAAACTTGTCGTTGTCGCGCCGCCTTTTTCTTTCTACTCTGTAATAATCTTTTCATCTCCCTTTGACATAATAACTGAAAACACCAATAGACTAATTCATAAACTTGATTAAACATGAATTCTTAAAGACACGCGCGTTTTGAGAAAATACACTTCAGAGTGGGGGGAAAAATTGAACAAAGAATGGGAGCTGCGATGAATATTATACTAAATGATTACTACTCCATAGTCAATTCTGGTGGATAGCCATGTAGAAATGGACAGGTTGATCCTTTGAAACACTCACCCATTTCCCAAAATTTACAAGTCACCTTTGTCAAATCATGTGCGAATTCACAGTCCTCTTTTTTACAATGTCCACGTAAATAAAAACTACATGCTCGACGCCACTTGGCCACAACTGGTTTTCCATTGACTAGTTCTGTACCAGGACATAATGACGTGGAGTCAGTTGTTACTGCTGTTGCCTGATTACTTGAATGACTATGTGTAAGTGATTTGCTGTTAGACAGATGAGAATTTGATGTTGAATTTGATAAACCATTTGAGGACTTTACTGTATTCAAAACAGATATTGATGAGACTGAATTATTGCCAAGTCCTGCAGTCATGCTATTATTATGTCGTCGACAGTGTGTATTTCGATGTCCCTAAAATGGGAAAGGAATAAAAGATTTGGAAAAGTTGCGGAGACAATGAAGATAAAGCAAAGATTCTAAAGAGATTCGAAACTGAGATAATTCTGAGCCAAATTACATTGACTTTCACTGATCTATGTTTTTTGAGAAGCAATACTGATATTTGTGTTTATCAGTTTACGATAGTCGTTTACCGAAAAGTCAATTTAACATTCAGTCTAACTTTATTAACTTTAGTTACTGGTTTTAAATGTCTCTGTGATGTTTGTCTATGACATGAGTAAACCAATAGTTCCACAATTTGTGTGTGAATTACCTAAAAAGTAGGCTGATTGTAACAGACGATTATCGTCATTTTTTCTGCATACCAGATGACAGAAAATCAAAGTACAGACAACCCGACCGATAGCTGCTACCTTGACGTGGTGGTCGAGCTTGCACATCACGATGACCCAACAAGCTACACTGGCTGAAACCAATGTTCCTGCAGGTCCTACAATGCGAGGAAGGCTGTTAGGATAGCGATTAAACTAAAAGCAGTTACCGGCATAGTGTAAGAATCTTTCTTACACTATGCTGGGGGTTCTGTGGGCGAAGTAGTACTGCTGGGGAACAGGGGTGTAACAGCAGTTAGGTGTTTCCCTCAGATGACCAGCATGCCAGCTATGCTGTCTCTCCACTCTGGAGAGAGGGGGTTAGAAAAGGTCGACCCCACAAAAACTGTACATTCCGACTTCCCCGATGGTGGACCGTAACTAGCAGTACGTTACTAATACGGAACCAATCCAAGAAACCAGTTCATATAGGCCGTGTGTGACTGGTCTCAAAAAGTTGTCCCCTGGGATCTGAGGTCACGCAACACTAACCCTCTTTCTGTTTCAAGTACCCGAAGAATCAAGCAACTTCCACAGTTTGGGCAGCCGGGGAGTAACAACCGCCCACACGCTTTCAAAAGCACACGAATGGAGTGTGGCGATTTGAACTGCTGCACATCGGTGCAAAGTTCTATGTCGAAAACAGACAGCCAGTAAAGATGAGCTATTTTATGGTCACAAATTACCTTCTGAATTACAATGGATTTCAATAATCACATGGTTTTTCATGATGCTCAAACAACAAACCACAGTTTAGTCATTTTATGACAAAAAGAATAAGAAACGAAGCAAAAATGGAGAAATACACTTAGTATATACAAAGAACATACGTCTTGTGGTCCATTGTGATTTCTTACGGTAGAACTATTGCATATAGGGGGTAGACCACCTTTCACCTTATTAGATGACGCTGACGCAGAGTGCCCAATTATTGGTAAACAGTTTGTGGTAGAGTTATTTGGCGTGATTACAGAATGACTCATAATGACTGTAGATGGTGTTTGGTTGATAGAAAATGGAGTTGACGATGTTGTACAGACAGACGTACTCTGATGATAACCAGCCGAATGTGAGCGTGCTGATAGCAACATTTCCTTTGAAACACATTCCAAGTTATTCGAAGATTCTGAAAAAAACGTACGTGGTGTAAAATTCGACTCAAAGTAAGTAACGTTCTGTTGATGAAAAATAAAGTACACTGTACAAAAGGCAGGTGGTTAGCTGTAATTCTAGTGATAGTGATCAAAACATCTGTTAAAGTGAGCAGAAGTATTCGGCAAAGTCACTAATTTCATTTACGCCAGGAGACAGTATCGTGACATCGTAAGTAATTTTACTCTCTCACACTGCCTTTTCTCACACTGAGTTATTCTGACCATTTTTTGTTGTATGAAGCATCTATTAATTTATCTTTTAAAATGTCTATATTAAAAATCTACATCTTAAATAATTCTACATTTTCTATTACTTTTATTTTCATTAGCATTTCAGTATAAGTGTGAACTATTTGATTTCAAAATCTTAATTGTATTCAGTCGTATGCAGTTAATAAAATTCCAACGCTCTATCAATTCTTTAGATGTTGCTTGTTTAAATGCATTCAAAAATTGTAGTGGAATTTAATCATCTATAGTGTATTGGTTATTAATGATACTGACATCATAAATAATGTAACATTTCAATTTTTTCACGTTACAGATTCTATGTGAAAAAAGTGATATGCGAATAATGTACAGAGTCAAAGTAGACCTTAGGAATAGACAAATATAAATGAAATGCATTCAGCATAAGACCTTTGACGAGCTAACAAAATACAGTCAATCGATTATGGCTTAACAAATAAAATAGTAAGTACAATTACAGTATGTGCACGAATGTGCGCGTGTGCGGTTGGAGAGACCGAATGGTAATTACTTAGGCCTAAGATGATACACAAACTCTTGGCTCAATTGTTTAAGAGACAATGAATTACAGTTCCACAATTCATCAAGTCACAACCTGTATGAAAGCGGTGAAAAGGCTGGTGATGCTATTCACCTATTTAAGGTGTCGAAAATGAGCGCGATTTAAAAAACCTATAACATATGGTCGTGTACCAAGTGTCTTTGCTGTAATATATATATATATATATATATATATATATATATATATATACATATATATATATAGAGAGAGAGAGAGAGAGACTTACCAGTACACCAACGGCCAGATGTAAGCGAGTATGACGGAGTAGGATGAGTCTTGCCATTTCTATTACTAGGAATACTAACACATTTTGAACTAAACATTATATTATTATCACATGAATTTATAAAAATTTTGTCTGGATTGCTATTTGCACTGTCATACTTCATCATATCTATTGAGCTTGTTGATGTATTTTTAGGATGTTGTAATAACAATAAACTAGAAGGTAATGATGACACAATGGACTGGTGTGCACTTTGCAATGGTTGCCTTACTGATGATTGTGTTTTAAGCATTGGTATATTAGAATGAAATGATTTGTTACTGTTCCACATATTTTCATCTTCTGCACTATTAGTAAATAAATTCATTGATTTGCATTTATTCCCATCGTTTATAGCCCAGTTACAATCATCATATCGACTCACATCACTGAGACAATGTTGTTGATGACGATGATGCTGAGAATGAAGAGAGGAATGATTGACACTAGCTGTAGAATTAGTAGCAGTACTAGGTGTGATAGTATTAGTAGTAGAAGCAGCAGTATTATTCATTATTGTTGTTGGACCAGAAGTTATAAGAGAATCCAAATCAAGGTTCAAATAACTTAACATATCTATGTCATTGTCCGTTAGTACATTTTTATTGTTAGTAATCAAATCAGTTAAGAAATTGTTTGATGATTCCATTGATGGCGTTAAAACCTTTGAATTACTTTGGCTACTAACAAGTAAATTTGGCCAATATGCTTTGGACTTATCCATCAGATTATTATTTGAGCGTATTGAACTGCCACCGACTAGTTCATTAAGAACACTACCAGAAGTATTGCCTATTGGAATAGCTGACGAATAGTTGGAATAATATGTTGTAGTCTTTCCTACAGGTTGTTGATAAGAAGCAATAGTGACCTATGTAGATGAGAAAAAAGCATTGATTAGTCTAATAGCTAAATATGACTGGAAAAAGTGACTTTTAGCTATATTTCATAAATAACTGGAAGGAGACATCAGAAAGGCTGATACATCTTAAGCTTTGGTGACAAATGCAAATTAATGACTTAGCCATATAGATTCTTTTTCTCAACGAAGGAATGAAAATTAGATTTAAAAAGTAAACTAGGGGTGTATGAAAAGCGTTTTGAATTCTTACACAGAACACCTTGGGACAAACCTCTTTATCCAGATAATGCACAATACAACAAATGTGCAGCACAAATGTTCGCTTTCACAGGTATCAAGAATAAATTACACGACTGGAATAAGAATTTTTATTAGGAATTAAACAGAAGCAAGTAAAAAGTCTGTAGGAGACAAAATAATAGATTTCCTTTTGTTTCAGTGGCTTCAGTAAATTGTTGATATAAGAGTGTTGAATTTCAGTTATTAAGATGTGTCGTAAAATGGAGACTGAAAACAATTGTTTTAAATTATATTCAAGAGACAGCAAAAACTAAAACAAGCTCATCTGTAAGTGAAACAAAAAATTAAACGTAATGATATTACATTACATTCTGTCCCACTTCAAATTGATCTCAAATCACTAAAACTACCCTCGCGTTCAGTTTCATATGCGACTGACATACACCGATGCATGTATATATATATATATATATATGTATATATATATATATATAATATATGTATATATATAACAGAATCGAAGACTTCCAGGTGAAAGCCAACAACCTGGATGAAGAGGCTGACAGGCAGAGAAGACAGGACTCCAGGTGAACATGCAGAAGATAGAGGTGATGTAGATAACCAACCAACAGCGACAACAACAACAACAACAACAAACACCAATCACTATCAACGGGAGAAATTCGACTGAGGTCACTTCCTTCACTTATCTAGGAAGCACGGTTTCGACCACAGGTACACGCACGAATGAAGATGTCAAAGACAGCCAGTCAGAATCAAAAATGCAAGATACACCTTCACCAATCTGAAACCAGTTCGGAAATCTTCTCCGCTCGATCAGCCAGCATAAACAACAAGATTTGGATTCTCAACACAAGTATCAAATCAGTCAGTTCTTCTATATGAGTCAGAAACTTGCACTGCATATCATGGAAACCATTTCCAACAGGCTACTGCAGACCTTCATCAGCATCTGTCACCTTCGTTGGCTGGCTCCATACTGAAGATCAAATGGCCAGGCGGTGAGCCAGAAAGAATTAGCAACGAGAAATTCTATCTGGCAGGCAACAAACCAACCGAGAGCCGATAGCTCGACAAATATGTAGGAGAAAATGGAGGTGGATTGGGTAAATGCTGAGGAGGCCGTCGAATGACATCGCGCGCAATCCAGGCCATAGCGCGAGTGGAATCTCAATGGGAACCAACGACTGGGTTGTCAGTACGAGGGTGACATGGAGGAGATTATACGGGTTGGAGGAGATGACAGATTATGGTCAATCGTCGTCCAGGCTGAAGAGGATGGCAGAAAGTAGAGTGGAGTGGAGATGCGTCGTTGAAGTCGTATGTTTCACGCGGAATTCGAGGGAACAATAATATATGTATATATTGCCTAACGGTTCGCACGTTAACGTTTAACTGCACTGATATTAACTTTGTGAGGATGATTGCTAAGCCAAACCACTTTCCCTTTGAATAGTTTGATTTTTGTTCCAAACTAATTCTTGTCTTTAGAAAATGGAACAAAACACAAACACCCATTTTCTCAACTGACTGTAAATTTCTGTCTCACGGTGATAATTGCTAACGCTCATATGTATGTATGTATGAATTCGCAGTAAACAACAATCCTCTAAAACAGATAAATACCACTTGTAACCACTATTCCTTTTGAACAGTCTCCGACTTTTGTTTTATAAACGCATTTTAATCATATACACGGAAGTATGTGAATTTATGTATAGGAAAAAAATACTAGTCATTAAACAATATATTAACAACTCAGTGAAGTATCAAATTAAAAAGGTGAAAATACTACAATTACACTTACTTCATTCGAGCGTGAATATGGCAAGGATAATGCCAAGTGTCCAAATGATGGGCAGCTGAAAGAAGGAGAAAGAAAAATCTATGCGATGATTCTAAGTCAAGCATTACACACTTGCAAAACAAACAAGGTGACTGCAGTATTAGAGCAAATCAAGGGACTAACTAAGGGTGGACACTATTTAGGAATTTACAGATAGGAATCAATTTAAACAACTAGAAGAGATGTTAAAACTATGTAAGAAGTATTTGGCTCCCGCGATACATCGTTCAAATTAACCGAGGGTCATCGTGCAACTGTACAAGTTTACTTTCCTTCAGATGCATACTTTGTATTTTCTGCTTCTACACAAATACTTTTGCTTTGTAATGATCCTGACCTGTGAAAGTTTGTTCAAAAGAATAAATGTGTATAGAAATTCAGATTCTTTTTTTTATACCTGAGACTGTCCAGTTCGCACCCAAGAGTCCATGAATGAATAAGCGTAAAGACTGTCGGTTTTAACGAAGACAACACCATCATTCAGCCAGCGTAGTAGAATACGATGTGCTAATTAAGTGAGTTCCAATTAAATGCAAATTATTCAAGAAGTAAGACAAGATGAATGCATGACTGACGAGTGACACAAGATCTTTGCATATACCAGATCAATTATAACGCTTCAGAAAAGGACACCTGAATGTCCAAATTTTGATCATTATCGGTAAAGATTTTGTCACAAATTGAAATCACTAAAAACTGAAGAGCACTGGACAACTGCTTCGTCTAATTTTGTAAGGAACTCATGTTATCCCATTGAAAGTGCCCAACACCACTGGTTTTTCATGTTCCAACAACATAACTTGGACATTGCCTAAAAAGCTTAAATCAACTTGTGCCTAATATAGCAAGACCGACTACTTTGCTTTCAATATCTTGGTTCCTTCTATACACTGATCACTAAAAGTAAGTTAGTGAATACCATCGTTATCATTCAAATGACATGTGGATTTGTTCAGAGTTGTAGTACATGGGTCTATGATACAACACAACTGAACTGTAGCATTGTATAAATAATGCTAAAACCACTGTTTCCGCCGAAACCATTAGGAGTCTCAGTCATTTTATTTGAAATAAGCTCTTCGAAAACAGTATTTAAACTACGACTACTTAATAAAATCTATTTTATGTCTGATATACTGAAAACAATAAACATCCAAGAATTCTATATTAATCAAATATGGGGTAAACGATGGTAGAACATTTTAAAATCAGAAGGCAGGTGTATATATTCTCAAGAAAATAGCAATTGTGCAAAAGATTTTACCTCGTGTTACACTTTGAATCTTCTGCTACTGCAGAAGCCATATAGTTTTTTGGATTTTTCGCATCCAACAAACGGATGGTTTGTCTCATATCAGAATTCAAAGATGATAGTGATACATTGCCAAAAATATCTGCAGCTCTACGTCCTACACTTACACTTGCTTTGTATTCCTGAATAAAAAATAAAAAGAATTATCAGTAATAAGAATTTACTTATAAAGGGAATGTAGTGGTATTTATTCATGAAAATGCAAATCTTGTTTTAAGCTTCTACATCGTTACCTAAAGGCATGTATGCTGATGCACACGAGAACTACAAAAGAAATTAACATCCACATAGTAAAATGGATTATTTTATTTAACATAATTGAAGAAAGAATAACTAGAACAAAGACATGACTTAAACAACAAAGACTCAGGTTAACGCACAGTTTAGCCAAATTCAGTTTACAATACATACACACGTGCATACATAAACACACAAACACAGACAGTCATATTGAAGCTGAAATAGCTATGGATTTTAGCTAGTCTAATTTCAGGTCACCTGGAGGGGGGAGAGAGAGGTGGGGAGAGAGGAAAAGGGGAGAAAATATTATTCGGACCAGACAGATATTCAACAAAGACCTAACTAACGTTTAGGTCACGTCAGGTCATCAGTGTGCGTGTGTTTGCCAAGAAGGAAATTTAGATGATGAATATGAATGCACAAGGTTAACGACACAAAGCGAATAAAGCTTTCTAAAACAAGATGTGCTTATTATTAGAAATGCAGGAAGTAGTGATTATGCGAACAATGGAAGGAGAAAAAAAATGCTTAACACGGCAGGTTTTCATAGCTAGAGGGTAAAATCAAAACTGAACAAAGCCCGGATGAAGAACGTATGTTTTCCGTATGGAATCTGTAAATATATTGTGATATAGTGAATTAAAAAGAAATCAAAAATAACCCATGGTTGGCACTGGACCAGCACTGAGACAAATATATATTGATAAGAAAGAAATCGAGAAAATTTGCAGCAAAAAAACATTCGCGCAGAAAGGACGATCATAGTTGGAAAGCAGAAATGCTACAGGAGAGATAAATAGATCTATCTAACTAAATTAAGTCCTTTAGTAGAACAAGTTTCTCTGGTTAGATTTCAAAAGACAACAAACCAAAAGCGTTTGGTGGGTATTAAGACTAAACTGCTATTGAAGCGAACGATAATTTAAGGTGCATAATTCCGCTACTCAACTAATAGTGCACATATGCATACGCAAAATGTCTGTAAAAGTTCTTTTTCATTGTACTAAATAAAACTGACTTTGAGTAGCTAAACACCACGAATGAATGTAATAACATAAGACCATACCAGACATAATAGGCTGAGATTAAAAAGTACTAAAATTAAAATGTCAACTAAAGTTTTTAAAAAGAGAGATTGTTAGGCAAAAATTTACAATGTTTTAAGGCTGAGGATCAGGCAACGAAGAAAAATTACCAAACATCATTGAACAGCACACCTACGTCCTCAAGGTTAAGAGTATGAATATATATATTTTTATTTATTTATTTTTATTTTTATTTACAGCTTGATTCCACACCGTATTTTCAGTACAAGTGTGGAATTTTCAGCATGGATATCGGTAGCCCAAATTCAGGCCGACCATAGATATCGGGTGTGCGCCGGCAGGGGATCGAACCCCGGACCATGTGCATGGTCGGCGAGAATCCTAACCACTGTGCCACCGACGCACATCCTAACGTTGAAAACGTACGTACCACAGGAAGACAAACACGTGAAGGTTGGAGCTTTCACAGAAATCAACCATATCAAGTTGCCATATATATATATATATATATATATATATATATATATAACAAACGAAATAATACATAAAGTATATCTACTCACCGTTGAGGGTTTTACAACAATATCAGCAGGAAATAGGCAATCTTGAGAATAACTATTACTGTCACTTTCTGATAAAATACCTCGAGATTCACCTAGACCTGATGTTAATGTTGACAAATTATCTGGCGGGTGGACAATTGCATTGAATCGATCCAATGAATTACTAATTAAATGGAGTAGATCCGTGCCTTCCATATCATCTTCGTCGGTGAAATCATTTGTGTCTTTTGAAGATAAATTTGTATCAAAAAGATTAGACGGACTTGTACTACGAGCATACTGTTCCAGAATATTAGGACGTGTATTCGTTGAAATCTTCGGCTTTAATAAATGCTAAAACAACACAAAATAAATAAATATTGTTCTAACTACTTTTAACATAACACCAATAAGACTTCCATTATGGGTAAAAAAATCTTACACCAATAAGACTTGCGGGATGGATATTATTGTACAGATATGATTCAGATGTTCTCTTGCAACCTGATATTGTCAATGAATCAATCCAAGGAAGAGGAAAACCCTACTTTCAACCTCACTGACATTTAGATGCCGGTCCTCCAAATACAACCGGTTACAAAAACTGTCTCTAGTCTACAATGAGGCAAAGTAACAGGACTTGGTTGCATAATTTCAGGGTACGAGTGGTAAATTATTGACTGTGTTAACTACGGTACTGGCTGGTGTATGGGAATCCAAGACTCATTCAGGTCACTGATCATCCGAATTTACAGGAAAATAAATAAATCTTCCTATGACGGCCACATAATGACCACTTTTGATAATATATTACCTGGGATTTTATGTTCTACAGTCTAACTAACACTAAGTAAAGCTCGGAAAATTAAACACAAGAGGACCAGACAAATTTCAAGCCTCTACGCGAGAGCACAGATCATTTATCCCCCTCAAGAGGTTCTGGAACACAAACACATCTACCGTTCGCTATACATCTTGACGAAAAGGGGTGCATTTGATCCTGTCGAACACGAGGTGCTGTGATAACATTTGGGTGTGAAGAGCGAAGAAAAACTACACTATACTAACGGAGACATTTCACTACAAATCGCACCGATTGTAAATGGCAACCTCGTCGACTTTAATATTTGATAGACTAATTTGTTACCGCAGAAAAATCTCATTCATCCAGAGTACGCAGACACTAACAAAGTGCAGTCTTATGAACAACTTGAGCAAAAATCTTAGTATGCTTGGCACACGATTTGCCCCTGTGAAGATATTAATGCAGGACAAGTTTGCACCGACACCTAGTCTAAGGACATAGAACGAACCTATGTAAACTGATATCCGAGTAGGCAAGAAAAGAGTCAAGGACGGTGAGATAAGAGCACAACACCAATATATGATACCTACGGCTGTTGATCTGAAGCACACATCGGTCGGTCGGTCGGTCGGTTTTCGACATAGAACTTTGCACATATGTGCGACAGTTCAAGTCGCCACAATCTATGTAGCACGCAAAGCAAGAGAAGGAAGTAGAAGAAATGCATAATATAGACAGTAAACAGAGGTGTGAGACAAAGGAATAGTAATAACGGAGAACAAAAGTTTAATTGGAAATCATAAGTCACAAGGAGTGGATGCATCTGCGCCACTGAGAACGATTTTGAGCCATGTCACCAATTGTTTCCAACCATTGGTTTTTACCATCCCGAGGGCCCCAACCAGGAAGTCTACATCTCCCTACGTGGCTTAGATTAACTGTTGTGGATTTCATTGATTGGTGCCATGTTTTGGTTTGACCGCCGCTAGCTCTTTTCCAGCCTGACCCTATATCAGCTAACATTGCCCGTCGAGGAAGGCGATGACTAGGCATACGTAGCACATGTCCTAACCATCTCAGTCGAAGTAATTTCACAGTCTCGTCGATTGATTTTCCCGCCTTACCTAGCACTCGACGCCTAACCTCAATATTGCTCACCTTATTATACCACTTCACGCGGGAGATAGAACGCAGGCACCTATGATCGAAGACAGTTAATCTTTTCATGTCTTCTGCTCTCAATGGCCAGGTCTCACAGCCATAAAGGAGGACGGAGCGGACTGTTGAGCAGTACACACGCCCTTTGGTCGATAGTCGGATATCGCGTCTACGCCAGAGACGGCGAAAACTGGCGAATGCGAACCTAGCCCTCTGTATTCGTGCTGAAATTTCGTCGGAGATCAACCCGTTGGGGCTGATGGTACTTCCCAAGTAAGTGAAGCGGTCAACGTGTTCTACCACTTCACTTCCTATTTCTAATCTAGGGGTCGATGAAGTCCAATCCTGCAGCATCATCTTACATTTTATAGGGGCGAAGCACACATAGAGACTTTAACTGCCTGGTTGGGGTCCCTCAAGATGTTAGAACTCAGAGAAATGATGGGGACAAGTTGAGATCGTCACAATGACCCACTCTCATCTTCACGCGTCTTCCACACCAAGTGAAGATCTTCACTAATTTTCGTTTGGTTATCCTTTTTCTTGTATATCTTCACACATTATGGTTTCGCTACACTTCTTTTCTCTACTTTTTGTATGCTTTTTCAAAATGTGATAAATAGAACTGTTTCACTTTTGTGTCAAGTTCTACATCGATTAGTCAATTAGAGGGTAAAATGGATGACCAAATAGCACTTAGATTAAGTGAATGTTGTTTCAGAACTCCTGGTCAAACAGATATATCTCAATTAACTCATAAAACACCACAAGTTGAGAACCTAATTTTTAGCTAGAACAAATATAATGAATTGATCGAAATCACGTGCAAAACATGAATTCGCACAGTATACTATTTCTAATACGTAGGTTAGTGTTGAGGAACATTTTGAAGGTATACTAAATGCTAACAGCTCACTCATTTTCATTATATAATAAATTAAACCTCTAATCAGTCACGCATAATTTCAATGCGAAAACAAACAAATTGAAGCAACATGCAAAATAACTCGATCAGTCTGTAGGTACGATATACTTGTAGCTCGACGGAGATACATACAGATGAAGAGTGTAAGTGTCCTCTAGCAAAGGCAATATCAAGAAAAAACATGAATAGATGGAATCCAATCCTCTATGACCAGTTGATGGAGGACTGTTACTTGTATTAATATCAGGAAATACACTCACTGCGATAATCTTTTGACATCTTTCTGCAGGTAAATTTCCATCCACAGCTAATTTCCTTATCCATCAAGACGAATAAAACACAAATTACCTCCCCCTACGAGATGACAGAATATTTTTTTAACCCAATAATTAGAAACTCATTAAACTCGTTAACTGGATGTTTGATGGTCCTGATGTACTCAAGAATAACGGTTCCCATAATAATTAAGGCAATGCAGCCTCCAACAAGCTTGCATGTGTAGCTTGTGTTTGTGCAAATATATGTAAAATGCCTAAAAATTGACCACTGAAAACACTGAACAGGTGTTACATCAAAAATAACAGTTCCCCAAAGGTTACCAGTGTTGTGTTTGATCACGTCAATCTCGTGCAGTATCATTTGGATAAATTCTGAGTGGTTTCATTTAACAACTGTTAGTAAGCCATGTTAGTTATATACTCACTTTTGAATATTGTTTTACTGAATTTGACGCAGAGTAATTTAGGCCTAGCGGGACAACTTGATCTTTTTCATAAAGTGATGAACATAAAGAAGTAACTCTCTGTGATTCGCAAGTAGGCTTGACCTGAAGTGGGAGCTGAACAGAATCAGACACCACATCAGACTTATTTCTTGGGAAGGGAAGGCAAACAGATGGGTGGTTAGTGCAGTCGATGAGTTCCTCAGCGAAACCTTCATCTTCAACTTGGAGCGAACTGACAGTTTCAATGACTGGAGATTCTGATACGCATTTGTCTGTGGTAGATTTGAACACATCTGATGAGGACTGACTGTAAGTGTAAACAGGATAAGAATCAATTTAATTTTTAGAATCTACAATGTCAATATTATTATCATCCAGTACTTTAAAACTTTATGAAATATATGGTGAAGAACACTACAACTGAATAAGCCTCCTGCATCAACTACCTGATGTAATTTACTAACTGAATTTAAGCCAAAGTGGACTTTTTGCACAATGGGACAAGGAACGTTACACTTAGGTTGGCAATGGTCCGTAGGGAACTAAACTCCACCCGTACTTTAAAAATTTTGTCGACAATGTACATTACTGGGACGGTGTTTTTCTGTTAGCAATCTGAACAAAATAATAAAAGCAAATACTACAGCAAGTTACAACTCTTTGTGTACACATTACGGACCTTATTGTTCACTGGATATTCAACATTTTGTTATACCCTTGTAACCTTGCCGATTGCCTCCAACCATCTAATAACAACAAGTCAGTTATCTGACAATGAAGTAGCTTATCAGCTGAAATCACCAGTATGACGTTTATTTACATAGTCTGCTTATCTATGATTACGTCAACAAAACGTAGGTAAGACAAAATTTATGTATTGTTTTTGTCTGATTTCAGATAGGGAAACGCCTACGCAACTAACATCTAATATCTAGGATATGGTGTAGATGAACGGACACTAATATAACAAAGGCGTGCGTAGGTCACCTGACGATTCTCTTCAAAATTCAGGTAAAGGGCAGACACACCCAATCGAAAACAGGGACGTCTGAATATAAGACTAAATGACTGGTAGGAAGATATGATACATGTTAGTGGTTTTTCATCAGGTAGAATACTAATCTAGTCTGTTTTACTCAATTTGTACTGAGCAAGTGATACATGAACAGAAATAAAACTTGTAATAATATGCACAAATGAATGTAAAATCGTACTTTAAAAAGAATGGTTTAGAAATATTTCAGGTTCTGACAGAGATGGAGTAGTCAGTGATTTTAGTGGTTAAAGAAAGTAAGTGAAATCATACCAATTGTTGAATAAGGTACTTAGGAAATCCAAAAATAAAATTTATAATTTGCCATATGAAACGTATATCCAACTGACGTTGAAGAAATTCAGTGGCTGACCAGAGAGACAGGTGAAGTTTGCTAAACACATACTTCACTAAAGTTTATCAGAGATTATATAACAAATCCATTTAGGGAACAATGACGACACGAGGAACTATCACAAACATTTAGCAAGCTTCTTTTAGTCATCCAAAAGGAAATTAGCTCACACTATCTGTTCTTACTTCTTCCTGGAAGTACAAGTAGTAGGACAGTAGTGTTGAAAACCAAGGTGAATTCCTTAAATACAAAATGTAAACTACACACTTTATGCACACGTAACAAATCGTAAATTCAGTCTACCGTTATAAATACGGATAACAACTGAGGCTTAGGAATCGACTACAATGTTCAAAAAACGATTAGTGAGTCTTGTTGATCACATTGAAATGCTCTAAACTCTGAATAGCACCTTTTTCAATGAAGTTTGATACCGATCGACCTAGAGAGGAAATATTTAACTCGCTCCTGTTACTCAGACTGACTGGAAGCAAGAGAAATGTTCCCATTTACACCTGAAAATGATTTGTATAATCATGATTTTAGTCAATTGCATCCTATCTATTTGACCATAAACATCTGGAACAGTATTAGCAATACTTTGGTTCCGTTAATGAATGTGAGTGGTAGGCACGGTGTCACAATGAACTTATGTGTATCGTCGATAGATGAGGTTTCTTTATCGGTGCTTTGTAAAGCTTGTGGTAAAGTTAAACTTTAGGCACCAGTAAGTACCAACGGACAAATGACGTTGAACACACCAACCACATGATAAAGGCAATTTGTGCGTATGAAATACATATATTCATGAAAATAGGGAATTAAAAGGCAGGAAACTGTTACACAGACAGGATACCTTTGTCCGACATGTGACAAAATCACCTCTCACTTTTGGATTGGAGTGTCAACAGAGTAATTTAACCACACTCTGTGCATGTAATTATCCAGTCTTCTAAAGCTAACAACAACCTTAATCTTTCCTTAACCTAAAGATAACATGAACATATACCGAAACCAACCCTAATATTGTCCTCGTTAGGTTAACCTAAACCTAACCTGTTAGCCTAAACCTGATTACAATAATATTTGCCAGGTATCCCTAACTAGCCTACTGAGTTTCGGGGTCACTGGTTCTGTCGGACTCCACTGGTACTTACCGGTGGTTAACTTGGCCAGGCGTTTTTTATTTATTTAAATTGGTAATATGTGATTTGCAGTGAGTTTGAGCCTAGCAACTATGCCAGCAGATTGTCTGCAGAACTGGGAGCAACTGAAAGTGAGAAACAAGTAGGGATATGATGCATGTATGCTAGATTTCATTTGGTAGTTCCACTCTATGAGCAATAGTATTCTTACAATTCTGCTTCATTAGACAACTCTAATAACTAGTCTTTTAAACAAAAATCAAGATTATGCAACACTGAAGTAAGAAGAGCAATAACCAATAAATCACCGTGATAATATAAGTCCAGTGTGATTTACAAAAATACTTTAATAAGAACGAAGTTGTTTGGATTTATCAGTAAACAGGAAACATGTTGCAAGTTCATGGCAGCGGTAAATAAGTTTTGTACCACAATAAACTCACCTTTTAAGGAATTCGAATTGGGCTTCACAGAGCGATAGTTGACTAACATCTGGAAATACAACATAAAAAACACTTAACCAGGCTCTTGACACATCAATGTTAATGCGGATACTGCTACTAATACTTTTAATGTTGCTTACCATTCTACACATTACTGCAAACTGAAGTAGTGGCTGGTGATTTTTCAGTAAAATACCTCCTAAACGTTTCACCCAACTTACGTTAACAGCTTCACAGAAGTCATCAGCAATTTACATCCGATTAAACTTGCTGCCAAGTTTGATGTCATAGATATCCGATTCCGTTAATTGTGGTAACACTTAAAAATAGAGTTGATGCGGAAAAGCTGAAAACATCTGGGTTGTAAGTCAAGTACAGAACAGTTGATATCTGAAGATCTTGGTTCAGTTACAAATGTCATCAGCTTAGCTAGAAAAATCTACAATTATCACTTGTTGTGGTTTATCCTAAGGCATCCACCAGTCAAACATATAAAAAAGTAGCTACCATATCAAACGAAACACTAGGTTTCATGTGTTTGTTTGAAGCACCACTTAAATTTCTATTTTATAATGTTTTATGTCCTTAATTTATTATCACCACAACTACTTCGATTGAATGACACCACTACAAAGGCGTCACGCACCAACTTGAAGTCAATGAACTCCAAGATATGCGTATAAACCATTTCAACTCCAGGATAGTAAATCCAAAATGACTATCTGAGTCCTGAGTTCAGTATAAAACAACTCTACCCTTTTTGCAGTTAAATTGATTCCTTTGTTACTCAACCAAGTCCCGGTTCATCAGATTCGTCACTTATAATGTGGACACTGGATGACCGGAATTGAGGTATTTAGATCATTTATCAAGGGAACTGGAGTTCTCTTACAACTGAATTTTCGCTGCAAGGTCGATAAAAATGCAGTGTTCTGTCTACACATAGACACAGCGCATCTCATCATGATAATAACTAAATAGACCGAAGAGGTGATAAGACCACAGTTTATTTGCTTCACTCGAATCCTCCTTGTCAGGAAATCTGACCAGGTTAATGATCCACTTTACCTTACATTTCTTTATTTATTCCCCGTTAATATTTAGATTTTTATATTACATACTCAAACACTAGCACTTTTCGAGCACGACAAGTCAGATTTAAAGGAGCATTGAGTCATTTAATTGGTGTGGATCAATTACAACATCCGAGAATGCTTTGTAAATGCGCAATCACCCGCTTCTCAAGTGGATTCGGAACATCTGCTGCGCAGGATGTGTAAACACATTTTCTCTCAGGCCAGCAGCCGGTTTTACAGGCTGAGTTGCCAGTGTTCAACTGATTGGCAGAAATTTTTTATGCTCTATTCCTAATTACCAAAATTACTATGAAAAGTATAATTATCTAGGGAGGTCATTAGTGCAGTTGTCAGAATGCAACTTGAACAGTCTACGCCAAGCGTTAAGTTGTTTAGCAATGATGCTCCAGCTATGAATGAATATAGGTGAGTCTGAAGATAAGTAACACATTATCATCTTCAATCCTGATTATACCCACATTGACGAAACCTTTTGAATTACACCTAAAAGCCTTACGTCTCACAGAATGTGCACACATTCCCAAAAACTATACTGATTCCGAAAGCATGGATAATAATAACACAACATTCCCATAACAAGGGGAATGGAATATACGTTATTTGCTAATATATAAAATTTAATTTTCAAGCTAAACAAAGGTGGTACTCGACCACCTTTTAGGTAATCAAAGCTATATAAATCCAATAAAATGATGTTTTTCCCAAAGGGGAGTAAAAACGTACCTGTATCTTTAACTTCTTCGCTTGAGAAGAAGCACCCATCGTTATCTTTGGTCGGAGAACTATCACCAGAAGTGCTGCCTTCATTGTACAAGGTTTGTTTCCTCTTTTTCTTCAGGCGTTTCTTTTTCAAAACAGATAGACTATCATTACCAGCACTTTCTGATTCCATGAAGTCCTCGATCGGTAGAATAATCTGCTTCTTCCATGCCGCACCACTGAAACTAATTGGCTTTGACTTCGTCAGAGCGGGGAACTCCTCCAAATTAACAAAGTTGTGTTTTGAAGATTCCATATGACAGTCTAATTGAAAACCACACCCAAGGACCATTTTCGGATTATCAGTTGTTTGAATAGATGTGTTGCTACTTGTTGTGTACGCTCCTCGAGTGATAAACATTAGCTTTTCATTTAAGATTTATACAATGCCTTCCGAATATAACAATATGTCAATCTAGGTTCTCTCTAGCTTCAAATCTTGACTCCAACTCCAAATAACCACAACAGGCTAAAAACCCAACTGGGTTCGTAAACGCGCTTATATGAAGTACCAACAACAATGAACATTCACAAGTACAAACAAACTCCGACGTAAAATGTTCCAATATAAAATAAAGGTCTTGTTTTCGATTATGAAACTTTCTATGCCAGCAGATAAAGAAATTTAATATATTTATATTTTTATGAGGAGTAGTGTTATAATGAATGATCATGCAAACTTGTTTACATTTTGATGATTTTAGATAGTAGGAGGCAATCGCCAGGAAGCCTTGGACCTAAGTTTCGTGCTAGTTGGCACTCACCAGCACGGCGTATCTGCAACCTTGAAGGAACTCATGTCCCTTCTGAGATTCGAACCAGCGTTCGCCAGTGCTACAGTCAGAGATGTTGCCACTGAGCTATTCGGGCTCGCGATTGACCTCCTGTAGGACTGTGGTGGGTATTTTCATTGGACACTAGTAACTGGCGTGATATGTTTAGTCCTTTCTTTAGTACACACTGATTTCTATCAGTCAGGTTTGCAATGTGGCCGACATTCCAGGTAGCTTGTGATCACGGTGCACATTGCTTTGATGATATAATGTAGTTGGAGGCATTTTAAAAATTTGTCATTTCAACAGCGAAACCAATTAAACTGTGGTGGCTCAACTGAGGGTATTTTGAACTCTCACCTGAGTTAAACGAACAGCAGAGCATTAACTGTTAACTTTAGTATGTATTCGAAAGTTGTATTTATCAGAGTGGGATTACTTCACTTTTCTTATTAATTAATAAATATTGCTTTTTGTAATAAGGACATGTAGCATTGCCTTATACCCTTATGTAAAATATAAATTTTGCTATCCGCATTATCTGCTACAGTTGATGATATTTTTCATTGTTTCAGTCAATAATTACATCTTGAAACATTTCGAGATTCATTAAGTCCTCATGATAGTTCTCCACATATAAATAGCTTATTAGACAACGCGTTAAACTACTAGAAGTGTTTATACTCTCGAACCACCCTTATTTGATCACATTACCTTATCTAAAGTACCAGTAGGCCCATGTAGGCATAGGAATCCTGATGGAGGATGCAAGCCAAATCACATTTACACTAGACACACATCTTAAAGCAGAATACTGAAGTTTCCTCGCCTAATTGATGAGTAAATAACCTTGGCGATTTCATCTGAAATTCTACAGATAGACGTGAACTCGTTTACGATGTAATTAACGAGGTAAACATTTAACCTCCTTCAGTAATATAATTTATGATATGTGAATAAAATCAGGGAAATATTTCTCATAATTTACGGTCTTAAAGATAAAATATCAAACTTTATATCTACTGCTCAACAACAAGAGCAGTAGCAATTCACTTGCAACATCGGTTATAACACGCAAATCTGACAAGCTAAGTTGCGGTTCACTAGTTTCAACTTATAACAGGTGAAGTGAGCTTGGCGACTCATAATATCCGGGATCGTGCACAGCTCACCAATGTGAACAACACTCTTTCAGATTATATTATTATTATTATTGTTCCCTTGGGTTCCTAGTGGAACATAGGGCTTCAACTGCACGTCTCCACTTGCTTCTGTCTTCTGCTATACTTTTCACTTGCATCCATGTTAGTCCATTGTGTTTCAACTCTTCTTCAAAAGTATCACTCCTTGAAACCCTATCGAGAATTAGTGCTGTCGTCAGGAGATAATCACAAAGCTCAGAACAACAGTGTGATACTCAACAACCTGCTGAACTTCAGTGCAACTCATAAAAGACAGAAGATCGGTCAAAGATTTACTGCTCAACCAGCAACAAACCAATATAGCCCAGTTAATTATACAGCGGTTGAAGTGTCAAGTTCACAGTTGGTTATTATTATACACTGAAAATGTCTAGAAATGAACATCAATATAACATACATAAACACTGCTGATCGTATTACTCTGGTCTTCTGCAAACCAGCAGAAGTGCACTCAAAAGTAACTCCAAAGCTTATAACCTCACAACACTGAATAAAATCGAATGTGGTCGACGAGAGACATCCCCTACTTACTTCCAAATCGAAAATAAACCTGCAAGCATCTGTGAACTTTTCTGTGAGTGGTTTACGAACTTTAGTTTAGAAACGCACATCCCTGATGAGACTGCACCCCTCCTCGTCCCTCAGGAGCATAGTGTTCACCTGTCAGTTAGTAGGTCAATCAGTCAAAAGCCTTAGACCTCCTACTGGCATGGAGCCGGATGGCCTTGCTTCAGTGATTTTCAAAAACAGTGGGTGTGATTTTCCTCTATTACTTTTCAAATTCGCAATCAGAGACCTATAAATATAACCCCAGTTGTCTCGCGAATCATGGAGAAAGTTGTCAAAGATCAATTGTCAGACTATCTACTTCGGGAAGATCTTGTTACAAGGTCTCAACACAGATTTCTCAAAAACAGGTCCTGCGTTACTTGCCACTTCTCCTTTTTCAACTGCATCACTAATAGTCGCGATGCGCGTTAGCTAGTCGTTGTTCTCGACTTCGATATATCTAGGGCATTTGACATGGTATCTCACAGTGTTCTCTTTAAGAAGCTGTACTCATGTGGAATTCGCAATCCATTACTTGACTGGTTGAATTCATTTCTAACCGAAGTCGGACCTGTATTATCTCATCCTAGGCAGATCACAAGAAGGATTATGCGATGTATTGTCCTAGGGGCCCGGTTATTTGCACTTTAACTGAACGGCACCTCAGGTAAACCATTCCTATGTGCTGACGACCTCAAAAGCATTTACTCCTGCTACAGTCATGAAATAAATGATATGGAAAGTAAAATATGTCTTAAATCAAGTGGTCTCGCAACATGGTGTGCTAAATCGTGTCTAAAGTTTAAAATTGACAAATGCGGCTGGATTTGTATCGGCAACATTAACCTTGACCTAGCTCTTGAAGTAAATGACCGAAGACTAGCCAACCTCAACTCAGTCGTAGATCTCGCGATCAGATACTCTAGTAATTTAACGCTCTCTGAACAAACTGATTATGCTAGACCTAAAACATTCAGGCTCCCAGGATGCATGACTCGCAATTTCTTTTGTTATGAAACTAGGATTTTATTATACAAAGTATGTGTCCGACCTATTTTAGAATACTGCCGATTTGTTCTTAGCTGACTGCGACAGAATGACAAGCTTAAATTACAGGGAGTGCAACGGCAATTCACCTCAAGAACCCTTGGTTTAGAAAGTGATCTCGAATACTCTGAGCGTTGCGACAGACTGAGACTAGAACGATTCTGGGGAAGATGTCTTAAGCTAAACCTCATTTTCTACTACAACCTAACTAGCATTCTCTTGCATTCCTCCAGGCCAATAACTAAATCTACCGATGTCATCAGCTACAATCTTTTAAATCATGACAACCTAGTTGCCATAAAGCATTGTAAGACTTACATGCGGAACAACATCTTAAATAAGTTTTCAGTCATTTGGAATAGACTACCAGCTAATGTTCGTGATGCAAACCCACTTCCAGTGTTCATCTCCTCAGTCACCAGGCTGCTCAAATATGACAATGCACTCCTGCGTCTGACTCCTACATCCTCTTTTTCACCCTGCATAGATACACTACGTTCATCAAACGTATAAGTCATAACAAACTACAATTATAAATGTTAATATTATTGGAAGGACATGATAAACATTTCTTGTGTCTTCTTCTCTTCTTCTTCTCTCTTCTTTCTCTTTTCAACGAAGGCACTGATACACTGCTGCTATCCTCTACTTATTCAGAATATTGCTAGCTCACTTGGTGAATAACGTAACCACCTTTATCATGAAATCTGCTGACAAGTTCAAAGTTGGTCTCATATCCAACTGGAAAGGTCACAATTTTGGTGTACTTACCGGTGACTTTGAAATTTGATGGACTTTTGAACACTTTATGAATCATTCACTCATAATTATTGTTCATTCTGCATCTTTTATGTTTCACGTCAGCACCTATACTAAAATGTTGCTTACCTCCCAGTATTTATAATTCTCGCGTGAAATTGACATGCCGTATTGTTTTTTCACTTACAGTTTAGATTTGACGCGGTATCTTATGTCTTATTCAGTCGAAAGCAGATTTCAAAAATTAGCTATTTACTTGTTTGTACACTTCTTTTTCAATGTTTCTCTCACATAAACCAGTGTTCAATCTGTTTCTACCTTAACAAATCGTATTATATATCCTGCAAGTTCTAATTAGTGTACATATGTGTATGCCTGTAAAAATGGCTGGTTTCTGTTCCAGAAATAAATAATTATTATAATATAACACAGAACACTGATATTAGTTTACACATACTACAAAAGCTAGCATAACAAGATTCGTTAGTTAGTGTACCGACATAATCATTGTTACTACACAGAACACATATATTTATAAATCACTCTTTGTGGATTCCACTTGCTTTGTTCTGTGCTGCTGCCGTTTTTCTTCTTTTTTCTCCCACTATTTCAGCTTCTATATGACTTTTTGAATGAGAATGAAGAATGTGGACATTACTGGTCCTAAATCCTACATCTGCCTCGTGAATCACTCATTACCTTCCAACGCGACGCCTCTTGGATGACTACCGTGGAATATTACCTTTATACCATTGACAAATCCTAACAACTACCAGTTCTGCGCCAATTAATTGGGTTATTTGAGAAATAATGAACTCATGCTGATGGTTGCGTGGTGATAATTTCCAGCTCCTATATGTGGCAGTTGTCATTTTCTATGGACTGATACTCTATTATTCTGGTTCACTGCCTCATATGGACTGAAAATTACCTATTGCTGTAACAATACTACTTTGTATGTTTAACTGAACACCCTATTGCTGTGTTTCCCTAGGACGTTCTCTCCAGGAATAGCTCTTAATAACTTGATGACAGCATTTACCCAAATATACGCAGTTCACTGGTTGACCATAACGATCAGCAGGAAACGGAACAAAGTTTGGGTTATCGCTCAACTTTGATGGTGACCTCAGTGAGCGGTTTACAATTTTACATTTATAAGAACCTGTCCTGATTGCTTGTACCATTATCAAACT